ATGTACTGTTTTGGTCTGCATGTTTCCTGGGGGTGTGGGAGGATTAGATGTGACAGAGGGTGGAGGAGACACCTGTAAAGTCCTGTCCAAAGGGCAAGGCTCATGGCAGTTGCGTTGCCCTTGTGTCTCCATCTGGACCACACTACACCAAGGCCGAGGGGCCTGACAAACATTTAGAGGGAAGGAGAAGCCATGAGCTTGGAAGATGCTGCTGATGCTGATGGAGAAATGATGATGGAGGAGATGATGGAGGAGATGACGAAGATAAGGAAAGGATGATGGTGGTGGTGGTGGTGGTGGTGATGATGGTGATGACGATGGATGGATGAATAGATGAGAGAGCCGATTAGAGCATGTTCAAGCCACGCCTTAAGAAGACAACAGGGTGTCATAAAAAGATCAAAGGACTAGTTGTTCAAAGGCCCAGCTATTTTTTTCACTTCAGGCTCTGCCTCTTCCTAGTCAAGTGACTTTGGGAAAATCACTGAACACCTCCGAGCTTTAGTTCCATCACCTGTAAGATGGGAACCCAAACCCTGCCCTGCTGACTTCACAAGGAGCATCCTCAGAGACCATGGCCATGATTATGTTCATGCTGCTGCTGTATCTGAGACCAAATCGTACCCACAAGCAGCCATTGCCATCAAGCTGACTTAGTTCCAGTGCAAGATACGCTACTTCCTTGCCCAGGTGTCTTTAAGCCAGTTAGGTTCTCCCAGCCTCAGTTTCCTCATTTACAAATGATGCTAATAGTGCCACCACCACATAGGGTTGTGACCTGGCTAAAATGGGCTCTTGAAGTTACAGGGACCAACACAGTTCCTGCAAGGAGCAGGGACTACTTGAATTGTCCTATTTATGATTAAAAGCCTCTCGTCCACTCTGATTGTTTTTTTTCTCGTCACACCCTCAGCTTGGCCCAACCTGATATAACGATCACACCCTCCTGTTCATCACTACTGCTCCTTGTAAAACTATCCTGTGACACATTCTTCAAGGACAAGGTGAGGTTACAAAGGGCTGCTCTGTATGATTGTACAGGTTGCTTACTGCTCAAGGGCACTAGCTAAGGAAATTCAGCTTTTGCTGCCTCACCCCCCCCCACCGTGAGCCTTAGAGAGGGGCTGCCTCTGCCTCCTGGAGGAGGCACCTTTTTCTAATTTGCATAAAAACTACCTATGGGCTAGAAGGCACCTGAGTCACCTGGAGTGGGACTCATTTAGCTTAGAAATGTGCAATCAGAGGGGGTCTCAGAAACGATCTGACTCTACATTCTTGTTGTAAAGAAGAAGAAACTGACCGTTATTCATCACTCATTGAACTTTTACTGAACACCTACTATGTGACAAGTACCATCTTTATGCTCAGCAGGGGGCAGAAGGGGTCAGATGAGGGGAAAGGCACAGGTTGTGACTGGTTCAACTGTGTATCTGGTGACCTTTGGCCCTGGGGCACCCCTTTGTCATTATGCTGTCTCCAGGGATGTTGGCAAGGTTTTCCAATGCCAGGTGTGGTGCCAGTCTACTCCAGCTAGTTGTTCTCTGCACTGACTGGTGCCTGACCCCATGCCCTTGATCCAGGTGTGCAGCTGGTGACCCAGTGACCACTGCTGTAGGCTCAAGGCTGACTCAGATGCCCAGGCTTGCTGGGGCAGGAAACCCAGGTAGGGGCTGTGCAGCCCCGGATGGTGTACTCAGCAGGAAGGAGCACTGTGCTAGGAGTTGGGACCTGGCCTCTGGGTCTACCCTGCCATTAACGTGTGTTGAACTTGGTCAAGCCACAAACCATCTCTTTGTCTATAAAATGGGAAGATCTGGCCACATGACCTCTAAGGTTTTTGCCAACTCTAACCTTCTGGTCAGTGGTTCTCAAACTTTGGCATGCATCAGCATTACTGGGAGGGCTAGTTAAAACCCAGATGGCTGGGCCCCACCCAGAGCTTCAGATTCAGTGGGTCTGGGGTGGAACCTGTATTTCTACCGAGTCTTTTATGATGCCGGTGCTGCTGGTACAGAAACTACACTTTGAGAACCACTGTTCTAGCAACCCTGGCTGCCCATTAGAACTACTTGGGGGAGCTTTAAACAGTGTGGATATCAGGCAGATTAAACCCCAGAGCAATTAAATCAGCATCTCCGAATGGGAGCCTGGGCTTTGTAATCATTTAATATCTCCCCCAGGTGATTCTTACGCTCTGCTGGGAGTAGGAGCCACTGTTCTAGAAAAACAGCTGGGGATGTGACAGGAGATTGATTGGCAAATGCCTTATATCTCTCTGGAGAAATGTCTCTTGGATCACAGCTCAGCCTCTCATGAGCTACCTGGCTTTGAACAGCCTCCCTGAGCCTCAGTTTCCCCCTCTGCAAGTGGAGCAGTTAGGAGGACTCCATGAAACTGCCTTTATGTGTCTGCCCACCTCCCTTTCCTCCTCGTCTCCAAGGACAGCTTGTGCATTTCTTCTGCTCTGAGGCTGTTCAGCTGAGCAGAATTCAATAAGCATTTATTAAAAACTCACAACGTGCAAGATGCTACCCTTAGTGATGTTGGAAACACAAAGACCAATCAGTCTTGTTCCCCACTCCAAGGAACTCATATGCCAGCGGTTCTCAACCTTTCACAGGGGTCGCCTAAGACCATCGGAAAACACATATTTTCGATGGTCTTAGGAACCGAGACACCGCTCCTCTATCCGTCTCCAGGCCCACATGCAGATACGCCCACATGCAGATACGCCCACATACGAGTAACTGGCGACCCCTGTGAAAGGGTCGTTCGACCCCCAAAGGGGTCGCAACCCACAGGTTGAGAATAGCTGTCATGTGCTAATGGAGGTGACGAAGCATGCGTCTAAATTGTGAGGCTGGGTGTAACACAGGCCATACAGGAAGGAATCATGATGAAAACCATTGTATGCGAAGCCTCCAACGCGAGGCATTTTATGGTACATTTTAATCCTCTCAGCGACCCATGAGGTAGCTACTATTTAACACCCACCTTACAGATGAAGAAAATGAGGCTTAAAGAGATGGTCAGTTACCCACAGTGCAAGAGCCAGGTTTTGTTGCCACGGGAGCCCCGAGGCGATTCACACTGTTAGGAAAGCTAGGAGGCTTTGTGGGGAGAGGTATAGACATTATGCTTTGAAGGATGTGTAGAAGTTCGATGGGTGAAAGACAGAGAAAAAGGTATCCTATTATAGAGAGAGGGACCAGCATACACCAAGGCCTGGAGGAGGGGAAATCCCAGCTTCTTTAGGGACCCAGAAGGGGTTTGATTTGGCTGAAATGCAGGCTGACGGTGGGACCTGATGAGAATCAGATCCTGGTTGGAGGCCGATGCTGAGCTAAGGAGTTTAGATTTTCTATCTTAAGCAATGGGGAGCCATTGAAGATTCTTGAGCAGGGGGTGGCATTTTTACAAATGATTAACATGGTCATTGGTTATGCGAGAGGGGAGTGACAGGGAGCCCCGTAAGGAAGAAGTCGGCTACGACAAATGGTCCATGTGAGATGTTGAGGCAAATGGGGGAAGGGTAGGAAAACGGGCATACTTGGGAGGTGTGCTGTCACCACGTGACGCTTCTTTGAGCATGGCTCACCTGTGTTCCTGCTTATTGACTCAGCCATTCTGTGCTGGGGGCAGGGACAGGGGTAGGAACAGGGGCAGGTGGGTATCCTGGGCCCCACAGCTCCACGTGCAGCAAACCTTCAATATGAGGATATGGTCAGTGGAGCGTGACCCTCTCAGGATGGAGAACTCAACAGAAGCAGCAGATAATGGGTTCCTGAGAGGGCTCAGAGCTGGCCGCCTGCCACATTTCTGGGGTAGGGGTGGGGAAACTGGCCCAGTGGCCTGAATCTTCCTGACCCCAGCCTTCCAGGTGAAGCGTGCCACCCTGCCTGCTCAAGGCTTACAACCTCTGTGCGTCAAGCTGAGCGCAAACCCTCCTGGGCTGAAGCCAGTTCCTAGAAGCAAAGTCTGGATGTGGAAAGAGTGCTGGGCTGGGATCCTGCCACTTGTTGGCTGGGTAGCCTTGGGCACATACCTCCCTTAGCCCATCTGAGGCCTAGATCTCACTTCCTCCACTTAGGGGGTTAAACTCAGGTAGTGCAAGTGCTGTGCCTTCCAGCTAGTCCCGCCACCTCCATCTGCCCAGTCTCTACTGGTTAACTTCCCTGGAGAATCTCAAGACCGCACAGGGACAAGCAGAGCAAGCTACTTTTTATAATCAAAATTCCAAGACCATGTTAGCACTTTTGTCACTCTGTAGATGTAGCATATCATATCCATTTTATAGATGACCCAACCAAGGCCCAGAGACTGGCCCATGACTGGCCCAGGGCCAAATATGTGAGAGGTTACAGAGGCAGGGCTTGAATGCTAATCTCTTATTTAAGATTTTGTCCCCTAGACATCCACAGCTTATTATTAAGTGGGAGGATAGGTCTGTTGGTGGGGGGAGGATTGGTAGACATCCTCCAATTCCAGGGTTCTGGAAGTTCCCTGCCCAATACAAAGTATGGTTTGACAGACACAGTATTGTGTCTCTTTACTGCATCACAGTAAGAATATTCTCTTTTCAGCTTCCAGATAACATGAAGGAGACCGTCTCTGTGGGGTGCTAATAAATAGGTCTTTAACACCTCTCCAAACCTTGCCAATCTCCCTTTTTTCACAGAGGGCACATCTCAAGCCTTGGCAGGCCAGTTTCCAACTAGAATTTAATAACCTTGGTTTGTTTTCATTGTGCTTATTTTTAATCTTACCTTCTATTTATGGCAAGTGATACTGGTTTCCCATTTAAGGCAGTGATATAACGACTCTCTGAAAAACGTGTTTAAGGGAGGGGAAAGTGGGTCTTGGATTTAAAGAAAATACTAAGAAATGGTGTCTAGATATGGCATGATGACAATGACTTATGTCTGCCCTAGTTCAAAGTGGGGAGAATGGAAGCGAGAGAGGAGCTGTCCAAGGGCACCTGGTAGTCCCCCCCACCAACTCCGGCAGGGCTCTCTCTACAGTGCTCAGTGCTCTTCCAGACCTGCACACAGGCGTGCCTGGACAAGGTGACACCATACCCCCCCCCCCCGCCCCCGGGCGGCACATGCGCAGCCCACGTGCCATCCCATGGGGTCCTGCGGGTCCCCACACCTCAGAAGTGAGGCGGTGGCTTAGGGCGGGCATCTGGGCATCTGGGGATTTCCGCGATGGAGAAGGGCGCGGGAGTCATGGTGCGTGGGCTGCAGCCAGACCCAGCACGAGCCGCTGGGGACCCCAGCCGACTGGCGGCGGGACCCTCGCAGGTCACCTGAGGCCTGGGCGGTGTGCGTGTTGGGTGCAAGCGCAGACGTCAGCCTCCCAGGCCCGTGCCGCCTTCCGGTCACGGCGCGCGCCCCCGGCCGTCCCTCCACCCCATTGGCCCCAGCCCCACGCCCGGGGCAAGCGGAGAGCCAGACTGCGGCGCCCCAGCGGCCGGGGGCGGGATGGGAGAGGCGGGGCCAGGCTGCGGGACCCGCCGTTTATTGGCCGAACGCAGTGCCGGGGGCGGGGCGCCGGGCGAAGGCGGGTGAGTGGGCTCCGGCAGGCAGAGGCCAGCTCCCGGCGGCGGGACAGGCTGCTCTGGGTCGCAGAGGGGGCGGGTGGGCGCCGCGCGACCAGCTTGCAGGGTGACGCTCGCAGGGGAGGCAGAGGGCGCCCAGGCCTGGGCTGGGCTTCTGTCGCTGGGACCGCCATCAGGAGCCTTGGCTCCGACCACTTTTCCGAGGGACCATTGACCTCGCCCTGCGGGGCGTTTGCCTCTGGTAGAGGGAAGGAGGGAGAAGCCGGGGCCCCGCGTAAAGTTCGCAAGCTCTGGGGGCCAGAGAAGGTGAAGTGGGAGGAGGAGCCAGTTTAAGGCTAACTCAGAGCTGGGAAGCCTTGGGGCGGCGTTCAAGGCCCCCTCCCACACGCGCGCGGAACGGAGCGCCCTGTTCCTGCAGCTGCTGGCGTCGACTCTCAGGGAGAA